TGTGCTTCCGCCCTGATCTGTCCTCTGGACCTAAGGCCAGGGCCCCCCACTTCTCCACCTGTGGCTGCTTGGGAGCATGGAGTCCTGGGGGCTGATAGCAACTTGCAGAGCTGTAGGAGTATTCATTCAGTCCCTCGAGAGAGGTAGAGGCTCTGCCCAGCCCAGTAGCACACAAATAGCCCCTTCTGAAGAGCCTGACTTTGCCCCTCCATTTTCCTACCTCAGACTCTCTCCAGCTAAGTCCTTTCTGCTGCTCCTCCTGCCCCCTCTGCGGTCTCCCTGAAGCCAGTTCCCTGTTTCTTCCTTCTAGAGAATGAGTTTAGCCATCAGGAAATCACAACACTGAGGCTGTTGGTGTGGAAGCTTCTAACTGAAAATCAGAGTATAGAATCCTGTGCAGATGGGGCTGACTATTCCACATACAGGCAGTGAGGCTTGGGAGGCGTGGTGTGTAGGGCTGGGAGTCTGGGCTCAAGAGCCAATTGGTAAGTTCACATGCCAACTCCTCCTTTGTAGGAAGTTAGTAACTCCTGCCTCAGTTTCCTCACACAGTCGATGTGAGGGGCAATTTGATGGGGTTCCCATTAGTGCCTGGGATGTGGTTAGTACTTGTTAAATGTTAGGTTTACAGCTATCCTGTGGGTCAGTATGGCTGACATCCAGTTCTGCCCAATGTGTTTTTGCACTCTGTGTAGAAAATTAGGAGAGAAGAAGTCAGCATTGAGTCTCTGGATCAGGTTCATAGAAACCATCCCATGTAGCATGTTCTCACAGTCTAGAATTTTACAGTCCCATAAGTATTTTGTTGTTGGAGAGATGGTTCAGTGGTTAAGACCACTGGCTGTTCTTGCAGAGGACCTGGGTTTGAGTCCCAGCACCTATATGGTGGCTAACAACTGTCTGTAACTCCAGTTCCAGGGAATCTGATGCCCTCTTCTGACCTCTACGGGCACTGCACAGCACTGGTACACTTACACACATGCAGGCAATACACTTGTACACATAAAAATAGTAAGTAAAAACAATTTAGAAAGTATTCTGTTGCCCTCTGGTTTATTAAAGTAAAAGTAAAAAGGTAAACGTAAGTGTATATATATATATAATTTTACAGATTTCCATGTAACTGCCATATTCATGTGAGTGACTGATTGCTCTTATGATTTCAACTTTATATACAGTTCCCAGGCTGCAGATGTAGCTCAGTGGAAAGCTCTTGCCTAGTGTGTGCAAGGCCACAGCTTCTACCCTCAGGACCTCAAGGAAAAGGTGAAACCTGAGTGTCACTTATGTTGGTAAAGTGTACTATTTCCAGTTCTGTTCTGGGTAAACTTGGCAGTTAGTCCCTGGTGAGGCCCCCCCGGCAAGACCATTGTTTTTGACAGAAAATTAAGGGCTGACTCTGGAGAGTGTCTTTTTGGGGACCATGGTTTGACTTCATGGCATCCTATGTCTCTGAGACTTTTGCAGCCTGGTGCACTTCTCTCCCCCGCCGTCGGCTGTACACTAGACACTGCAGCGCTGTAAGAAAGATTAGCTGCCTTCTCTGGAGCCACAGCTGAGCAGTTCTGAACGCCCTCGAAGGGAAAGCCTGGTGCTCCTGCACACGCACCGCTTTGCCTGCAAAGCCTCCTTTGGCAGCTTCTGGCTTTGTCAGAAAAATCTAATAGTGGTAGTTAAGCCCAAGGCTCTGGAGTTAGGCCGTGTAGGCTCAAATCCCAGCTTTGCCTCCACATAGCACTTGGCCCTAGGGAGGGCTCTTAAATCCTTTGTTTCAGGAGTAAGAGCGGCTGCCTCACAGCATTGCTTCTTTCTGAGAATTAGGTGAGGGATCCCTGGCACTTAGTGTATTCTTAGCACAGGGCAGCTTAGCACTTAGCTATTATCACCTGTGCCTCTGCTTACGGAAAGTTTTCCTGCTCTGCTTGTTAGGGCTCTTCCTGTTTCCCAGAGTGTCTCTTTGTCATTGCATTTATGGTACTGCGTTGTAATTTCCTGTTTGTTCTCGTTAGCGTTTATTTTTTATTTTTAATTGTGTGTGTGTGTGTGTGTGTGTGTGTGTGTGTGTGTGTATGCATGTGTGTATGCATGTAAGTGCTGGTACCAGTGAGGCCAGAGGTGTCCAATCCCCCAGAGCTGAAGTTACAGGCAGTTGCGAGCTGCCTGATCTGGGTGCTTGAAACAGAGCTGGGGTTCCCTGTAAGAGCAGTCAGTACGTGCTCTTAACCACTGAGCTGTCTCTCCAGTTGCCTTTAGGCAACTACTTAAATGAGTTGAGTCTGTGTTGGCCGTAGCTGTGTGCCTGTTGCCTGGCTGGACTGTTGTCTTTTTCTCCCAAGTTCTGTAAATTGGTCGGGTAGGTGTGTGTTGTGTTTTTGTTTGGTTCCAATTCCCTGATTAAATGTCTGCTGAGGAATGGGTCTGTTGCCTGCTTTTCAGGAGCTGAAGGATTTAACTGTCTCCCTTTCTGCTCATTAGGGCAGGTTTTAACAGTGCATCAGGGTGTTTGAAATGCAGTGTGTTCTCAGTTCCTCTGGGTTACATGCTGTGCTGGTTAGTTTTTTGTCAACTTGACACAAATTATAGATACCTGGGAGGAGGGACCCTCAGTTAAGGGATTTCCTTCATCAGATTGGCCCGTGGACATGTCCATGGGACATTTTCTCTATTGCTGGCTGACTTTGAGGTCAGTCTCTACAAATAGGTTTTGGTCAGACTCATTTGTAACAGCAACAGAAAACTAACCAGAACAGGTGCTAATGCCTGTTAGAAATTATGTAAAGTGAAGCAAGGTGTGATGGGGCATGCAATCCTAGCACTGGGCAGGTGGAGACAAGAGGATCAGGAGTTCAAGGCTAGCCTTGGCTACATGAGGTCCTGACTCAAAAAATCAATATCCCTTTACTCCAAATGATTACGTAAAGTGAGATAGGTTTGGTGACTCATGCCTGCGATCATAACCCAGGAGGAAAGGTGCAAGTTAAAGGCTAGCTCAGTTAAGGGATTTCCTTCATCAGATTGGCCCGTGGACATGTCCATGGGACATTTTCTCTCAGTTAAGGGATTTCCTTCATCAGATTGGCCCGTGGACATGTCCATGGGACATTTTCTCTATTGCTGGCTGACTTTGAGGTCAGTCTCTACAAATAGGTTTTGGTCAGACTCATTTGTAACAGCAACAGAAAACTAACCAGAACAGGTGCTAATGCCTGTTAGAAATTATGTAAAGTGAAGCAAGGTGTGATGGGGCATGCAATCCTAGCACTGGGCAGGTGGAGACAAGAGGATCAGGAGTTCAAGGCTAGCCTTGGCTACATGAGGTCCTGACTCAAAAAATCAATATCCCTTTACTCCAAATGATTACGTAAAGTGAGATAGGTTTGGTGACTCATGCCTGCGATCATAACCCAGGAGGAAAGGTGCAAGTTAAAGGCTAGCTTGGGCTAGATAGCAAGGCCCTGTGTGGAGAGGGAGAGATTAAAGTCCCTAGAGCCATTTGCCTTAGTGAATGTCAGAGTTGGGCTCTAATGTGGGTTTTGGCTTTGTGGCACTTACTGCCTTGCTGAGAACTTAGGTTGACTGGTTCCCTGCCCACAGTAGACACCCCGCCAGAGTCTCTCTCCGCCGCTGCAGTTTTCAGTGGTGATCGTGGGAGGGGCTGCCGCTCCCTGTAGGGCGGATCCTGCTGTGGCAGTTGCTGTTGAGCTGCACAGGCCGTGAGGCTGCCATGCAGGCGATGAGGATGAGGACAGGCAGCCGGCACGGGACCCACAGGACAGGGCTGAGACACATCTATTTTCATGGCTTCTTTTCTTAGTTTGTCCCAAAGTTAAAAATAGTTAATGATGCCCTGTGGGCTGCCCAGTGTCCTGGAGTGCACACAAAGGCTAGTCTGTGTCAGACTATCATAATACACCATTGGGCAAAACATACTTTCTTCTGACTGTTTTTCAAACATCAGAACACAGAGTCTTGGAAACTAGGGTTTATTGTGACTACAGCTGGCTTGAAAGTAGCAGGCTAAGCTAATCAAAGGGTGTGGCATCTGCCTTTTATGCTGCCAATAACCGAGGCCCCAACCTCTTGTAACATCTCTAATGTGAACTTCCTATTTGTGTTGAATTTTTTTATGTTCTCTTTTTTGAAATGGGGTCTCAGGTAGCCCAGGCTGGCCTTGAACCCCTAACATTTCTGCTTTCATGTCTCTAGGTGCTATGATCACAGAACTGAACTACCACACAGCCTTTCTATTTGCAAAATTTTAAGAAAAACAACTAGATGAAGATGCCATGATGAAACCCATTCCTTTGTATTCTAACCTAAAAAATTCAGGGGCTGAAAGGATGACTGAGTGGTTAAGGGTGTATACTGCTTTTGCAGAGGACCTGAGTTTGGTCCCCAGCTCCCAAGTTAGGAGCTCACAACTGCCTGTAACTCCAGCTCCGGGGGGGTCCCATGCTTCTTGGCTTCTGGGGATACTTAGCATCCCTGTGCACATTCCCTCCCCCATAATTAAAAAAAATTCTAAAATATTAATCATAACAAATACTAAGCCGGGCAAGGTGGCGTACACCTTTAATCCCAGCACTTGGGAGGCAGAGGCAGGTGGATTTCTTTGAGTTCAAGGCCAGCCTCTACATAGTGAGTTCCAGGCCAGCTGGGGCTGCAGGGATACCCTGTCTTGAAAAGAAAAAAAAAAAAAAAAAAAAAAAAGAAAAGAAAAAGAAAAACCAAAGGGAGTAAAAAAACAGTGTATCCAGGGCTGCTCAGAGACTAGGAACGGGGAAGGTGCAGAAAGAGGAAGGGCAGAGACTCAGTTGGTTTGATGTCTAATGCTACATGTTCTTACCTTTTTATGGTAACATAGTTTACAGACTTTTATTATTTAGAAAGTTGAGTTTTTTTTGTTTTTGTTTTGTTGAGACAAAGTCTTGCTGTGTAGTCCAGCCTCGCCTCAGAGTTGTGGTCCTGCCTGAGACTCTCAAAGGTAAAACCTTTTTTCCCCATGTTCCTTAACTCCATAAAGCAACAACCAACGGCACAAGTCTGCTGTGCAGCAAAGAGCCAGGTATTCTTTTGCATACAGTGTAACCATGAATGGGGCACGAATGGGCAAAATTCCTATTTGTTTAAAAATAGTGCAATTAAAGGTGAAACCTTGTAAAGATGTAGCTAGATGCTGTGTGTGTGTGTGTGTGTGTGTATGTGTATGTGTGTACGTGTACATGTACATGTGTTGGTATGAATGCTTGGGTGTGTGTGAGTGTGGAGGCCAGAAGTCAACTTTGTGTGTCATTCTTCATTTTTCCCCCATGGTGGGTTTTTTTTTTTTTTTTTTTGTCTTTTTGAACCAGGGTCTCCCTGTAGCCCTAGCTGTCCTGGAACTCACTATGTAGACCAGGCTGGCCTTGAACTCACAGAGATCCGCCTGCCTCTGCCTCCCAAGTGCTGGGACTACAGGCGTGCGCCACCATGCCCGGCCCACCATGGTTTTTAGACAGAGATTTACTGGCGTGGAGCCTGCCAAGTAGGCTGGCCAGCATGTCCCAGGGACTTCTTGTTTCCACTTTCCAGCACTCGGATTATAAGCTGGGCCACCATGCCTATTTTTGTTGTTATTGTTAAGATTTTGTGTGTGTGTAAGTAAGTACAGGTGCCCATGGAGATCAGAACAGGGTGTTGGATCCTCTGGAGCTGAAGTTACAGGTATTTGTGAGCTGCCTTTTGCATGTGCTGGGAACCACACTCTGGTCCTCTGAAAGAGCAAAACTGACTCCTAATGGCTGGACCCCCCCCACACACACACACCAGTGTTTTTGTTAATCATTGCAGGTTCCAGGGATCAAGCTTAGGTGCTCTTGCTTGCATGGTAGGCACTTTATTATCGAACTATCTTTCTAGCCCTGTGTATATTAACTTATATGCTCAAAATTTTTATGATTACATGAAGCTTTCTGATTAGAAGATGGTATAGATAATAACTTATTTCTCAAAACAGCTGATGTTTGGAGTTTACAGCAGCATAAGCCACAGACTCTTCAGGGTTTGCTCGGCTGTAGCTCAGTGATAGGGCACCGGCTTGGCGTGCACAAGGCCCTGGGTTTCTTCAGCAGTACCCCTCCCCCAACACTGCTAAACAAATAAATGGAAAAACCTCTTGAGTTTCTTTTTTTATGTTTGCATGTTTGTGGAAGACAGAGGATAGCCTTGGACGTCATCTTCAGGACCCTGTCCACCTCATCTGAGACATAATCTCATTGGCCTGGACATAGTGACTGGACTGTCTGGCCATGAACTCCAGGGATTCTCCTGTCTCTGCCCCCCCCCCCCCCCCAGCCCTGGAATTACAGGCCTGTGCAGCCCACACTTGGTTTTTTATGTGGGTGCTGGGAATTGAACTCCGGTCCTCATGCTTGTAATGCAATCACTTTACCCGCTGAACCATTTCTCCAGCCTTTGAAGATTCTTTTTGAAAGTGGGACTGTATGCTCTGACTTACAGATTCAGTGTTGGTAGTAGCAATTGTTGGCTAGTAGAAGAACTAGAAACTTTTTAGTGAAAAAATGCTAAGGCATTCAAGGTTTGTGGGGAGACTCAGAACCTTTCTCAATGCTCTAAATAGGTAGGTGCCCCCCTCTGGATTGCCATGTACAGGTAGCTGGCACTGCTAGCTATAACCCCATCTGGCTTGGAAGACCAGCTCTATAGACCAGGCTGACCTTGATCTCACAGAGATCTGCCTGCCTCTGCCTCCCAAGTGCTGGGATCAAAGGTGTGCACCACCACCATAGCCACACGCGAGTTTTAAAATTTTTTAATGTGTATGTGTATGCATTCCACCACCCTCAAGTGGGGAAGGTCAGAGGACAACTATTGGAAGTTGGTTCTCTCGTTTCATCAGGGTTTTGGGGATTGAACTCAGATAGTCAGGTTTGCCTGGCAAAGGTTTTTACCTGCTGAACCATCTCAACAGCCTGGACATTAGTTTCTGAGGAAGAGTCTGAATGCAAGAATAAACACACTAGGTAGGCTGAGTGAGGGGATATATGATGAGACTTTGTCTCAAAAAAAGTAGGGGGCAATAGCAACTAAAATTTCTTAGGTATCCCTTATTAGCATTGTGCTGGTACATGTGCATCATTTGAATCTGCACAAAGTCAGTATGCACTGGTATGACTCTCTCCATTTTACAGATGGAGAAACTGAGGCAGGAGAGACCAAGTCACAGGTTAAAGGTCATAAGCTAGTAAGTGAGTGAGTCAAGATTTGTTTATTGTGTATGAATGTAGTATATGTGTGGGGTATGCACATGGATGTGCATATGGAAGCTAGGGCCTTATCTCTTTGGGCCTTATTCCCTTGAGTCAGGGTCTCTCACTGAACCTGGAGCCAGCCAACAGAGATCCTCTATCTCCATCTGTCACAGTGCTGGGGTTGTAGGTGTACATGTGGCCATGTCTGGCTCTTTATGTGCATGCTGGGATCTAACTCAGGTGCTCTTACCCACTGAGCCATTGCCCAGCCCTGAGTCAGGTTGGGTCTGGGTCTAGCTCCTACATTCCTAAGCATCATATGTACTTGTCGCAACTGTAAACAAGTTATGAGTTAGGCATTTAAAAATTTATATTTTAATTTTTTATGTGTATGAGTGTATTGCCTGCATGTATGTAGGTACACCTGTGTTATGCAGTGCTCAAGGAGGTCAGAAAAGGGCATCAGATCATCAGGAACTAGAGTTAATGGAAGGTTGTTAGCCACCATGTGGGTGCTGGGAATTGAATCCAGGTCCTCTACAAGAGCAGCCAGTGCTTGCCACCACTGAGCTGTCTCCAGCCCTGGAGATTTAGACATTTTATAACTACTGGTTCCAGCTTTCATTGTCACATTGTTTTGTACAACTCTTGCTTTCCCACCTCAGTCTGCACATCTGGCTTTGTGTTTAATGATTTAGCCAGGGTCAGATAGCCTGCAGGTAGGTTCTGTGAGGTGACCATGTTTCCCAACTGCAAGCTTGTACAGAGAAAGAGCATGCAGAATGTTGATCCCCAAGTTTATCTTTATCTCAGAGCGAAGGGAGGAGCTGGAACGTCTTCCACAGAAGGATCTAGCAAGAGCTGAAAGAGCCTAGGAGGCTGCCAAAGGCAGCTGGTAGAAGAGGTGGTCACCTGTGTGACCTGGATTTACTATGGAGACCAGGCTGGCCTTGAACTCACAGAGATCTGCCTGCCTCTCAATGGCTTAACGTTTTTTGTTGTTTTTTTTTTCAATCTTTTTGAGACAGGGTCTCCCTGTAGTCCCAGCTGACCTGAACTCACTAGGTAGATCAGGCTGGCCTCGAACTCCTGAGTGCTGGAACTAAAGGCATGCGCCACCATGCCCAGCTAGTGGCTTAAGGGGTTTGTTTTTTTTTTTTTTTTTTTTTTGGTCTTTTTGAGACAGGGTCTCCCTGGACCCCCAGCTGTCCTAGAACTCACTATGTAGACCAGGCAGGCCTCAAACTCACAGGGATCCGCCTGTCTCTGCCTCCCAAGTGCTGGGACTACAGGTGTGTGCCACCACGCCCAGCTGGCTTAAAGATAAAGCAGCTTGTACACAAGACAGCTGAGACAGCTACTCGGCTGCCATTCGGGCTGAGTTCTGCCAAGGCGCATGGTGGATAGAATCTTTGAGCAAATTACAGCAGTGATAGGGCCTGAGAGAGAGAGAGAGAGAGAGAGAGAGAGAGAGAGAGAGAGAGAGAGAGAGAGAGAGAGAGCTGTGTTCTCCCTGTGAGATCAGAGGGAAGGGTTCTGAGTGCAGGTGGGAGGAGGAACGAAGACCATCTCTGACCCTTACTTAGTGCCTGTGTTGTGTGGACCGTCAGGCTGTGTGCTGTTCCTTGCCATCCCAACTGCCCTGACTGCCACGTGCTCAGAGAGCCTGAAGACTATTGAAGGGGATCTGTACTTGCTTCTTGTGGCACAAGTGCTTGGGCAGAGGCAGAGCCTTCGAGTTCTAGAAGAGGCTTTAAAAAAAGTCAGCTTTGTGGATAAGGAATACACTGGGATGTTGAGTTGGCCCTGCAGCCTCCCTGGATCTATTTGTACTTGGCACAGAGTAGAAAGGCTCTGCATGTGTATATGTGTGCACACATGCATGTGTTTGTATTTTTCTTTTTCTCTTTTGGATGCTAATATGAACTAGTCAGTCAGTCCTATGAAATCTCGTAGAAGTTGGTCAGGGTGTGGGCTTTAGACAGGGTCTCCCTGTAGCCCCAGCTGGCCTAGAACTCACTATGTAGACCTGGCTGGCCTTGATTTCACAGAGATCTGCCTGCCTGTGCCTCCTGAGTGCTGGTATTAAAGGTGTGTGCCACCATACCCAGCTTCTTTTTTGAGACAGTCTCATGTAGCCCAGTCTCAAAGCCCAAGGATGGCTTTGAGCTCCTGATTCTCCTGCTCTACCTTCTAGACTGTGTTTCTTTCAACCATCTTCAGGTTTCTCCTTGTGCCTCAGTAGGCTGTAGAGGTCTCAGTGCTCACTGTAGTCCTCATAAACCGTTGAAGGTTTGTACACATCTCCTGCCTGCAAAAGCTTATGCAGAGCGATCGGAGCTGTCCTCCAAAAAGGCAGCTATGGTGAGGTGCATTTTCCTGTTCTTCTCAGTTCTGACCACGTCTGAAAACATTCCTCGAGGCGTGAGCTCACGGTCTCTGCCGCACTGCTGTTTCAAGTTGTGGTTTGGCAGCCGTTGGCGGAGAAGCTCCTGGATTTCCCAGTTGGTGGTTGCTAGTTAAGAAACTTGATTTTTTGGCAGAATAGAGGCTCATATCGCCTGACTTCAGGAGAGCCGTAGTTACGATCAGCATCGTTTTCATTGTTGGTCGCCAGTTGTGTAAGTCTTTTGCCTTTTTACTATTGAAGAATATTTTTATTACTGAAGAGTAGGCAGCTCAGCATTTACTGTACCATTTATTTCTGTTATACCTTTAAGTGTGCTCATTCCTTCCTTAAGTTAATTACAAGGAGACTCTGTTCTTAGTACCTCAGTACTGGTCTATATTAACTGCAGTTTCATGTTATTCCTTTTCTCAGAAGCTTTGGCCATTTTAGCTTTTGTTTTGCTATTTTCTATAAACGATTTTTTAAAAAATAAAACCCATT